GATCAGAAGAAACAGCAAGAATAGCAAATGCAAAGGCCCTGAGGTAGACATGAGCCAGGTTTAATGAAGGAAGTAAAGGCAGGCTGAAGCAGGGTTAGGAAGAGCAGGAGGGGCTGGGAAAAATAGGTACGTAGGAGCCAGATCACAAAAGACGATTTGGGTTTTATTGTGGATACAATGGGAAAGCGTCGTGAACAAGGAATCAACCAGTGTGCTCTGGCTGACAGTTCTGAAAGCTACCTCTGGCTACTGGAACCTGGTGCCTTAAAACAACACAAGTTTATCATCTTACAGTTCTGGAGGACAGAAGTCTGAGCCGCGTCTCACGGGGCTAAAACCAAGGTGTCAGCAGGACTACATTCCTTCTGCAGACTCTAGGGGAGGCTCTGTTTCCTCGACTTTTCCAGCTTCTGGGGGTCGCCTGCCTTCCTCGGCTTGTGTACCACCCCCAACAAGTGCATCACCTTGTGCACTGTTTCTGTTGTCACATCGCTTTCTCCACCTCTGACCCTCCTGCCTCCTGAATTTTCCCGTCTCAAGTCCTTAATCCCACCTGCAAAGCCATTTTGTCATGTAAGGATAACAAAGTCACAGATTCCAGGGATCTGGATGTGGACTCCTTCGTGGGCCGTCATCTGCCAACGACACAGAACAAAAGCGGAAGCGAGACCGTGCAGGAGGCCGAGAGGGGTGATGGTTTGCACCTTGGAGAGCGCAGTGAAGGCGGCGGGGGGAGGCTCAGATTCAGGTGCTTTGATGGGTCTCCCTCTCAGGGCGCCCTTCCTCTGGCATTTCTTTAGTCCACATGTTTAGCAGGGGGTAGGCCTGGAGTTTTAGCCCCAGTAGACAAAGGGCTCTGGTTGACAGCTTCAGTTCTTGCCAGGTCCAGTTAACCAGCACATCTTCTAGCAGAAAAGGTACAGAGGATGAAATTTTGTTTCAAGAAAGTTATAAGGCGGTAGAGTGTAACAGTCTACTCTCAAACAACAGAACTGAAAATTGTCTTCACTGCAGTATTTAAAGACCCTGCCCCCAAAAGGATTCAAGGGGGGCAGGGTAAATTGTGCAACAAGTCTTCCTTTATCTGGAGATTCACATATGCAGATATACTTCTATAATTAGTTTTTGTGGCAGGGGGTGTGATTAGGTTTATTTATTTATTTTTAATAGAGGTACTGGGGATTGAACCCAGGACCTCGTGCATGCCAAGCACACACTCTACCTCTGAGCTATACCCTCCCCTGACATATGCAGATATTTTAATTTTATTTTGAAGGAAACAAAACACAGAGTCTTCTCTCCTCACCAGGTTTGCCCTGGTGACCTCATTCTTGTTTCTAGGTCTTTCCTCAGGCTTTTTCTCCCACCAGGAAAGCCCTTGATTTGCTCGGTCTGAATTCTGCTCTTCGTGTAAAATCACCCCCACCCCAGGAAGCCTCCTTAGATTTTTGCGGTCCACATCGAGGGCTATCTTCTTTGAACTCTTACGTTAAAGTCACCAATGACAGTATAAAGGCTCCCATTCGTTGTTCACCTGCCGTGTCTTTAATATACTCTAAGTGTACTGCCTAATGTGGTTCTCACAAAACCCTGCAAAAGAAGAACCATGTCCGCATAACAGCTGAGAAAACCGTAGCAGGTACAGGTTAAACTCGGTAGGGAGCTGGATGGCTAGGATTTCTTTTTCTGATTTTTTTATTCTATTCTTTTATTTATTTTATTCTATTAATTAATTAATTTTAAAATTGAAGTATAGTTGATTTCCAATATTGTGTTAGCCTCTAATGTACAGCACAGAGATTCTGTTACACCTATACATACACGTTCTTTTTCAGATTCTTTTCCATTATAGGTTATTACAAGCTACTGAATATAGATCCCTGTGCTGTACAGTAGGACCTTGTTGTTTATCTATTTTGTATATAGTAGTGTGTATCTGCTAAACCCAACTTCCTAATTTATCCCTCCCCCACCCCTCTCCCCTTTGAGAACCATAAATTTGTTTTCTATGTCTGTGAATCTGTTTCTGTTTTGTAAATAAGATCATTTGTGTCCTTTCTTTAGATTCCACTGCATGGCTAGAATTTGAACTCAGTTTCATCTGGCTAAATGTTAACCTTACAATAAAAGTTCAGTTACATTTCCCCAATGTGTGATACAATTTTTGTCACAACATGTTATTATGAAATTTTCAGATATACAAAAAGGTTGACAATCTTATAGAGAACGTCCATGTACCCACCATCTAGATTCCACAATTTATATTTTCACTATCCTTGCTTTATTCTGTATCTTTATGTCCATCTACCCGTCCCTCCCTCCACACAATTCATCTTATTTTTTTCATTTATCTCAGGGTAAGTTGCAGACATCAGTACACTTCCCCCTAGTATTTCAGCATGTACATTATTAAAGGAGAGTTCAAGATTTGTTTACAGTTCTATTTTTTCTTTTGAGGTTAAATTTGCATCTGATGAAATGTACAAATCACAGGTGTACTGCTGAGACACAGCTGTGTAACCCAAATTCTTATCAAGAAAAAGAAAATCACCGTCACCCCTGAGGTCCCCGCATGGCCTTCCCTCGTCCACAACAGATCAGTTGTGCCTCTTTCAGAACTTCACATAAATGGAACCATGTGATGTGCTCTCTTGTAACAGTCTTCTTTCACTCAGAGGACTGTTTTTGAGAGTCATCCATGTTATTGCATGCCCCAGCTTTTCATTCCTTTTTACTCCTGAGCAGAAATCCAATATATGAGAAGACCACAATTTGTTAATCCATTTTCCTATTGATGCACAGCTGGGCTGTTTCTATTTGCTGGCTCTTACGAGTAAAGCTGCAGTGACCCGTTTGGCACAAAGGGTTTTTTTTTGTGGTCACATTTTAATTTCTCTCAGATAAACATGATACAATTTTGAGTTCCTGAGTTTCTGTCATTATGGACTAAGTTGGAGACAGTGGTGTATTTTTAGAAAGGTAAAAATGTGGCTCTTATTAGTAGGGAAACTACTTGTTTCAACCAGTAAACCAGGAAGGGCTATTGTGTTCAAAGTGAGGACAGCACGAGCGTGCGTTGAATTCCTGTGACGGACGAGGCACTGCTCAGAGCACCTGAGTTCATGACAGTGAGAATACACACTCCTTACTACCAGGTGGGAACCTGTCTGCTTTCCACACCTCTTCATCCTCCGAGCTTAGAACCACACATAATAGACACGCAACAACGTATTGAGTGAAACAAATGGGAGATTAGTGTTACTCAAACAGGCTTGGCAGAGACATAACCTAAATTACGTGTATTTAAAACACCTGTCCAAACATGCTATGCTTTTAGATCTTCGAGACTCTGGGAAATGACTTTGATTATATTTATCTCCATTCTAGAAGTTGTAAGAATTGACTGAGGAATTCAGCAGTATTTTTTTCCCCCTCTTAATGGAGGTACTGGGGATTGAACCTGGGACCTTGCATGTACTAAGCACATACTTTACCACTGAGCTATACCGCCACCCTCCACTTTTCTCTTTTTTTTTTTTTAAACAATTTTTCTTGTTTTTTGTTTTTTCTTCATTTTTTGTTTTTTTATTTTGGGGGGTTGTTTATTTTTGTTCATTTTTATTTTTGTTTTTTTTAATTAAAAAACTTTTTTCAGCAGTACTTTGTAAGTTGAAATGTATTATTTCTCATGTGCCTGTAATGCCATTTTTTAGTACCTACCCTAAAGAAACACAAGAGAACACAAGAAGGGAAGACAAAGATTATTAATGGCCGAAATGTTTGTGGAATTTGTTTTTTGGTAGAAATTGACAGGTTGATTCTAAAATTTGTATATAAAAGCAAAGGAAATAAAATAATGAAAACCATTTGGGAAATAAAAAAACAAAGTTGGAGGATTTACATTACCTGACTTCAAGACTTCCTATAGTAAATCGTTGTAATTGAGACAGTGTAGTATTTGTGAAAGGACAGACACCGAGATCAATGGAACAGAGTAGAGAAGCCAGAAAGAGACTCACACAGATATGGCCAATTGATCTGCAATGAAGGTGCAAAGGAAATTTATGCAGAAAAATAGTCTTCAAAAATGGTGCTACAACAATTGGATATCCACACACTAAAACACCTCACATTGTATATAAAAAATAACCCAAAATGGAGAATAAATTTAAATGTAAAACCTAAAACTATAGAAGGTCTAGGAGAAATGTTTTTATTATATTCTAAAGTTAGACGGATTTTATAGATATCAAAAAATGTTAAATAGCATTGTTCATAATATACAAATTGGCAATTTTCAACAATTGGAGAGATTTGAATATATGCTGCCAAGAAGATAACCTTGAAAAATTATTGCATTTTCTTGGGGGTCGTCATGGTACCGTAATTATGTACGACTGTGTCCTTATTCTTAGTAGGGGCATATTAAATTACCTGAGGTGAAAAGTCATAATGTGTACAACTTGATTTTAAATGTGTCAGATAAACAAATGAATCAAAGCGAATGTGGTACAACTGGTGAACTCCACGAAGGACATTTAAGATTTCTTTGTACCAGTCTTTCAACTTTTCTATAGGCCTGAGAATGTCAAGATAAAAATTAGAAGTGGAAAAGTGCAAAACAACAGTCAAAGAAGAGCATCACTTGGTTAATAAAACCAAGCTTGTGCTTTGACGTTGTTAAACTCAGCATGGCATTTATTTGGAATCTTGAAATAAATATTTTTTTAAGTGTGGATACTTTTGCTGAGGCAACTAAATTTAGATCACAGGGTAGCCATGGAGAAATATTTGCCATTTGAATCAGACATTGAGAAGGTAGAGTTGATTTTGGCAGGGTATGCCTTGCCTACTGGCTAGAAGAACATGTTCTCCCTATGCTAATCATGTTTGAATTTTACAGTACAACTATTCAGAAGATCCATCTACTGTTTACCTAATAATCTGGAGTTAGGACAGAAACTGTCACTCTTCTGCAAGCAAGAGGAATCTAAAAGATCGTGCTCACTTTGGCAGCACATACACTAACACTGGAACAATGCAGAGGAGGTTAGCTCGGCCCCTGCATAAGGATGACACGGAATTTCATGAAGCATTCCATATTTATAAAAATAATGGAAAAAAAAGATGGAGTAACGATAGAAAACTGAATAGAGAGGGTGAGACGTGTGCCTAGTCTTGGGAACACAGAAAGGACCTAAGTATCTCTGCATATGAGGAGGAGCAGAAGGCAGACTAGAGAATGTGTGAATGGAGTCAAAAGAAAGGGGCTTATGAAAAAAAGACAAAGGGTTTTATGGGGGAGGGGAGGCTGTTTCAAACAATATGTAAATTTATTGTAGATGGTTTTGAAGACATAGGAAAGCACAAAGAAGAAAACAAAACCACCAACATCCTACACGGAGGTTAGGATTTGATTGCTTGCAGGCTGTTTTTCTCCACATTAATAGGGATGATGATGATGGCGAGCAAAGGCTTATTGTGGGATCTAGAGAAACAAAAACAAACACACATAACACAACAGAAACAGATCACAGATACAGAGGGCAAACGGGTGGTTGCTGGAGAGGGGGACTGGGGGGATGAGTGAAATAGGTGAGGGAGATTAAGAGGTACAAACTTCCAGTTACAAAAGAGATGAAATAGTCAATAATGTAATAACTTTGCATGGTGACAGATGATAACCAGACTCACCACGTAATGTACAAACATCAAATCACTATGTCGTAACCTGAAACATCTATAACATTGTAAGGCAATTATACTGCAGTTTTAAAAAGTAAAAAAAAAATTAAGATCAATTAATGTTTTCACGTCATATTGCATTTGACTTCATAAAAATAAATAACCTTGGCGGGGGTGTGGGTATAGCTCAGTGGTAGAGCACATGCTTAGCATGCATGAGGTCCTGGGTTCAATCCCCAGTACCTCCTTTAAAAAAAAAATCATTATTACTCAGAGGGAAAAAAAAGAGTTTATTGTGCACTTGCTATGTGCCAAGTACTATTTTAAGCAGGTACTATATTTTCTAAGTGAATATGACAGCTCTGCGAGGCGAGAACATCACTCCCCTCACTAACAGCATAGTCACCACGTTCACCCAACATGACTCGTACGAGCCCAGAGTCAGTTGGCCCATGAATGGGCCAACTCGTCTCACCACAAAGCCATTTTTATGGCACCAGGCCTTTTGTCCTACAGAAATGGATACGAGATTTATGATGTTATCACTACCTTAAATCTGCATGTAATAATCCTCTTTTACTATTTCAACAAAGCTAATTATTCTTATGAGTGACACATTTGGACCAAAAGCACATTCTTTGAGCATTTAAGTTAGTAATAGGATCAATGGGCTAACTCAACAAAATTTTGAGGGTCTTATAGTCTAGGCATATTATTTCTTTTAACTCTTATGAAAATCCATGTGAAAGTATTATACTTTCCATTTTTCAGATGAAGTGAAGGAATTTTCCCTAAGGGATGCCAGCTCATAAAGGGGCAGCCATGTGGTGGCTTTGTAATGGGCCAACTCAAGCTGAAGTGCATTTCCCAGAATTCCCCCTCAGTTAGGCTGGGCTATGAGAGACATTTTGCATCAGATTTGGAAGGCAGGAGTGGAGTCAGGGCCCAGTGGTGTTTTACACTCAGCAGGCCTGTGCGGGGCATGCAGGTGCTGCCGGAGTTCATGTGCACCGCCTACCTCTGGCCCAGCCTCTCCGGAGCTCCTCTTTTCTCTCTGGCTTCTCCAGGTGTGACTTAGCTCTTTGACAGAGGTTGCAGATGCCACATCCTCAAAGTTGGAGGCTGGCGGTGAGTCACTGACATGGGCTCCCCTCTGTCTCTGTGGGTTCTTCTGTCCTTGTTCAACCCTCCTATGTCTACCTTCTCTTCCCAACTGCCCGCCCTGTGGACTTCAGACTCCAGCGTCAGAAGGGAAGACAACAGCTTTACACAGACTGTTTGACCAGCTTCCTCAATGGCAAAAGGTCATGTCCTTGTCTATACCGAGTGGTTTGCTTCCTCTGGTCAAACCCCAATAACTGATAGAAGCCCAAACTTAAAGAAACAAAATCTAAGTGGCCAGATGGAAATAACTTTGATCATTTACATTTAAATAGCTTGGAGTCACATCTGAACCTACTTTTGAGAATTCTCTAATTAAGCTAAGAAGGAAGAAAGAGGTATCTTTTCCAGAGTCTGGAGTTTTTGAATGATGAATTAAATGGTTTCATGTAACTTGGCAAATTATTAATTATATTACTGGAGTTGATTATTTGGATCTTAAAAGTTGCTTCTGGTACCTATTGCTGCTGTAACAAATGACCACAAACTTAGGAGCTTAATACAAATTTATTATTTTACAACGTGGAGGTCAGAAGTCGAAAATGAGTTTCATACGTACACCCCAATGTTCACAGCAGTGCTATTCACAATAGCCAAGATATAGTAAATGTCTATCAACAGATGATTGGATAAAGATGTGGGAGATATATATATATAATGGAATATTACCCAGCCACAAAAATAATGAAATAATGTCATTTGCAGCAACACGGATGGACATAGAGATTACCATATTAAGTGAAGTAAGTCAGACAGGGAAAGACTAATATCATATGATACGACTTATATGTGGAATCTTAAAAAAAAAGATACAAACTAGAAATAGATTCACAGATGTAGAAAACAAACTAAGTGGGGGTGGTGGGCTATAGCTCAGTGGTAGAGTGTGTGTTTAGCATGCACAAGGTCCTGGATTCAATCCTTAGTAACTCCACTGGAAAAAAAAAGAAAGAAAAAAGAAAAACTGGTTGGGAGAAGGGTATAGCTCAGAGGCAGAGCACACGCCTAGCATGCATGAGGTCCTGGGTTCAATCTCCAGTACCTCCACTAAAATAAATAAATAAACCTAATTCCTCCCCCTCAAAACAAACTAATAAAAGCTAAAAAATTAAATAAAATAAATGATAAACACAGTCTGAAAAAGAATCCTCTAAATAAACAAAATAAAATTCTAAAAAAAAAAGAATCAGAACAAAACAAAACAAACTGTGGTTACCAAAGGGGAGAGAGGTGGGCAGAGATAAAAGGTGAGTTTGGGATTAGCAGGTACAAACTACTATCTACAGAACAGATAAACAACAAGGACCTACTGTATAGCACAGGGAGCTACAGTCAGCATCTTGTAATATCCTATAATGGAAAAGAATCTGCAAAAGAATATATATATGTATAACTGAATCACTTTGCTGTACACATGAAACTAACACAACATTGTAAATCAACTATATTTCAATTTTTTTAAAAAAGAGAAATCCTGACGAAGGAAAAAAACAGAATTTCAATGGGTCGAACCAAAGGTGTTGGGAGTCACTGCGCTCCCTCTGGAGGCTCTGGGGGGGCCTGTGAAAACCCTGCCCTTTCCAGCTTCTACAGACTGCCCACATTCCTTGGCTTTCGGCTCCTGCTTCCAACTTCAAAGCACATCTCCAAGCTCTGCTTCCTTCTTCCTGGATTCTGACTCTTTACTTTCTTTTTTATACCTTCGTGATTGCATTGGCCCACCTGGATAATCCAGGGTAGGCTCCCCATCTCAAGAACCTTAACTAAATCACATCTGCAGAGTCTCTTTTGCCATGTAATATAATATATTCACAAAATCTGGGGAGTAGGATGTGGACATTTTGGGGGAGTCATTATTCTGACAACCATGGGTACCATAAGACGTTTTCTTTGTCTCTCTCCCCTTTTTTAAAAATATGTTTGGGAGCCAAGATTTTTTTCGCTGTTGTTTGTGGAGGTATTGGGGATTGAACCCAGGACCTTCTTCATGCTAAGCAAGCTCTCTACCACTGAGCTACACCCACCCCACCTCGTCTCCTTTGTTTTAATGGAAACTTTTTTTAATCAAAGTGTAACATGTATTTAGAAAAGTATATGTAAGTCACAAGCATATGGCTGGAGGAATTTTTCACCAAGTGAGTAACACATCCCAGATTAAGAAACAGAGCATTCTCAGAAATCCTGAAGTGTCGCTCCCGTCACAATCCCCACCCCAAAGGTAACCCCACTAGCCTCACTTCCAGTGCCACAGTTTCGCCTGGCTGTGAACTGCACATTGATGCAATGATGTAGTATGTACTTCCGTAATAGAAAAGAACAAATCTGATTCCATATGAGATCTGTTCCTTTGACTTGAACCCTGTGCTCTGTTTTCTAGGCTCAGTCT